TTTTTTTTGTAGATGTTGAACTTACTATGTCTTACTGCCTCAGCCTCTCACGTGCTAGGATTACAGGTGTGTATCACCGTGCCCAGCTACATTATGGTCTTTTCCGATCACTGAATTTTTCTTTCCTGTTGTGCAGAAGGGTAGGTCTTTGTTTCAGGATTCTGTTATTTTTATGAATGATTTATGACAACAGCCCTGCTTAAAATCCCTTTGTACTTTTGTAAGCCGTCTCTAACCCCTTCAAATTCAGACATAGGAATGGACAGGAGGAGAGTGCTACTTAGCTAGGGTTGGTTTCTTTCCTCCACAACATTCCAAGGAGAAGGACGCTCAGCCTCATCCCATCAATGAAGTCTGAATCAGGTGTGCAGTGGCTTCTGCAGGTGCCTGGTGATGCTCACGTGTAGTCACCTGAAGTGCTGATGCGTTCTCCCAGTTCATCTCATTATCCCTCCTCGTCTCTGGACCCTCCACACTCACCTCCATCACCTGGTTGTTCCTTTCTAAAGAGCGAGCTTCTATGTCTTGTGTTTTCTTTTCCTCCTTATAGGTCAGGGATGGTGGATTGAGCAAGGGAAGTCTTCTGTTCTGGACCAATGTGAGGCCTCCCTGACCTGTCAAGCCCTGTAATAAGTTTCTCTACAAAGAGGACTGCAGGGTGGGTGTTTATGGAGGCTGAGTACCGAAGGTTCCATTGAGAAATACTGCCTTCAAGCACTTGGAGACTCTGGCAGAATCTTGCATGTGAGGTGTTGAGGGGTCACATTGGATTCTAAAGAAGCTTTGAAGCTCATACTTGACAATGGTTGTGGAGGAATCAAGCAGTGTTCTTAATTGGTTTGTGGCAGGTTTGTTGCGGGTTACAGATAGGTATCCAAGATAGAGGATTATGCAGCTTTTGATCAGAAAGTTTAAATTTAGTTGGTTGTGTTTATTTTTTAAAATTATTATTATTATTGTTATTGTTATTATTATTTGCCAGTTGTGGGGCCTGAACTCTGGGCCTGAGCGCTGTCCCTCAGCTCTTCAGCTCAAGGCTTAGCGCTCTACCACTTGAGCCACAGCACCACTTCCAGCTTTTTCTGCTTATGTGGTGCTGAGAAATCAAACCCAGGGCCTCACTCATGTAAGGCAAGCACTCTACCACTGAGCCACCTTCCCAGCCCCTTTTCAAATTATTTTATATATATTTTGATTATCCTTCAGTAGTTGTACAAAGGAGTCTCAATGTAACATGTCATTAACAGATCGCCATTCTCCCATGCCTGTGAGTACCCCCTCCCCCACTCCATCTTCACATACATACATTGAGTATTATGACTGCATTCACCCACCCTTCCTCTCCCCATTCATCTGTTCCCTCCCCTAGACTTCACCCTTTCCTAATCTACACATTCCAGCTTCCTGGTATTCATTCTGTGGAACTGTAAGTTAGCTGTTCAAAGGATTCACACCATTAGAATCATCCCCTGCATATACTTCAGTTAATATGTTGTGTGTTTTTGCACATGACCCTGCATATACCTATGACCCTGTATATGTTTGTGTATATATATATATATATATATATACATGCATTTATAATTTAGATCTAACTTCCACATATGAGAGAAAACATGCATGCTTTGTCTCTCTGAGCCTGACTTAGATCACTTAATGTAATTTTTTCCTAGGTCTCCCATTTCCCTCAAAGGACATAATATCATTCTTCCTAATGATTGAGTAAAATTCCATTATACCTTATGTTTCACATTTTCTTGATCCATTCCTCGGCTTGTGATGAATAGCACAGCAAGGAACATGGTGTACAAGTGTCTTTACTGTATCCTGACCATATTACCAGATCATAGGGTAGTTCTGTGATTCTTTTCTTCTTCTTCTTCTTTTTTTTTTTTTGAGGAATCTCCAAACAGGCTTCCATAGTGATTACAGCAACTTAAATTCCCCCCCCCCCTTCCCACCCAAGGTACATTTCTTTCCAGTTGTTTATTTCTTACTATTTATATAGGGGGTAGGATTAAGGATAGACAAGTCTGTGGAAGGGAAGAAGGCAGGGACTATAAACTGAAGCTATTGCTTCAAGCCTGCCTGCTTGACTGGGTTGGGAAATGCTGTCTCCCAGCGAAGGCACTAGGGTAGCACCAATTGGCTGTATGTGTTACATCTGTCATGATTCTTTCTGTGTTAGGAGGACTAGGCACCAGGTCACCACAACTCCCAGATTCCCTGAGAAGTTTCAGGCGAGTTTGGATTGGCAGGAATGACCTCAGGGATTCTGGTGGAAGGCCCAGGCTTGCATGCTGCTGAGCGGGGCTGCTTGTGGCCTCCCCTGGGCTGGGGCTGCCCATGTGTACAGAGTGCGTTCCTTGTCATTGGGTGGACTCTAGAGATTCATCTCAGCAAACTGGAGTCTGTGTGGTCATGATCTCCCTGTGCCTTTGAGCTGGGAGGGGGCATGCTGGGAATGAGGCTTGTCCCTTACTCCTCTAATAGTGTTTGCTTCCTTCTGTGTAGTGGACAGAAACTTCCAAGACCTCATGGAAGACAGGGTGGCAGCTGAGGCTGTGTGTGTGTGTGTGTGCGCGCGTGCATGTGCGCACAGCAGGTCAGAAAGCATGCATGATATGGCTCATTTGAAGGCCTAGGACATCTTCTGTAAAAATCCTAACCAGATAGTTTGAAAGAAAATGAGTATTACCCTCGTTCCATTTACCCTCTCTCCCTCTGGTTTACATATTCAATTTTTATTTACAAACTGATACAACTCATAATTCAGTCTTTGTTTTTATTATGCAGTTCTTAATGTATCTTTCCATATGTTTCCCCCTGATTGACTTCCAAGCTAATCTTATAAATCTGAAGCCATGCATCTTACTTGTTACTGAAGCAACATTTGTAGGTCCCTTTTTCTTGTTAATACATGAGGCATGCTTATAAGGATAAGGAAAACTGTTCAAAGTCAGGTTCTTGAAAGAGTTCCAAACCTTGGATGTTTTTTCAACACACACACACACACACACACACACACACACACACACACACACACACACACACACACACACACCATTTCTTTTTTTCCTTTCTGGTCCTGGGGCTTGAACTCAGCCAGGGGTGGGGTTGAGGCGTGGGTATTGTCACTGAGCGTTTTCTGTTCAAGGTTAGTGTTCTACCACTTGAGCCATAGCTCTACTTCCAGCTTTTTGGCTGAATTTGAACCACGGTCCTCAGATCTCAGCCTTCTGAGTAGCTAAGTTTACAGATTTAAGTCACCAGTGCCTTGCTTGTTTTGTCCTTTGAGGAGGAGGAAATGACATTCAGGGCTGATGTGTTCACTTTGGTGACTTGGTTTTGCAGAAAGTATTGGTTTTTCCTTAAAGGAAAATCCCTGGTGGAGGGCTGGAAGGGAGGAAGAAGGTATGGAGGGAGTGCCCTCCGCCAGGGAGAGGCATATGAGCAAGTCGTGGAAATTTCCTTTGTCTACTTTGTACCAAGCAAAAGCACTGCTTGATGTTTCTTGGCTTTAGTTGTGGGGAGGAAAATGATTTTCCTTATGTCTTGTTCAGGAAGTAAACCCAGTGCATTAAAGTTCATTGCTATAGAAATCCTTCCTTCCTCCCTCCTTCCTTCCCTTCCTCCCTTCTTTCATTCCTTCCCGTTCTCTTTCCCTTCCTCTTTTTCTCATCCCTTTCTCCTAGTATAAGTATTTGGACTCAGGGCCTTCTATTCACTTGGCTCACATCTTTTTCTTAGTCCGGCTTCCTTGGCTCACTTGCTATACCAGCTTAGCTTTTGCTAGTTAAATGGAGATGGATTATTATGCCTCTTTTCTTTTAATCCAGGTTGGCTTTGAACTGTGTTTCTGTGTATCTTCCCTAACTGGTTATTAATATTTCTTTAAAGCCAGCACCTAGAATTTAAGACTGATTGAGAACCACTCATGACAAGACGTGATCTTTTGTCTAGACTTGTGCTATGCCTAGTTTCTTCTTTGTTTTTTTTTTTTTTTGGTGGTGCTGAGGTTTGAACTCAGGACCTCACATTTGCTAGGCCAGTGCTCTACCACCTGAGCCATACCTTCAGTTCTGTTTTTTTTTGCTGATTATTTTTGAGATAAGGTCTCACAAACTTTTCTGCCCAGGCTGGCCTTGAATTGCTGTCCTTTAGTTCTCAGCCTCCTGAGTAGCTAGGATTATAGGCATGAGCCACTGTATCCTGGCTAGTGTTTAACTCTTGCCTCCCGACTGCCTGAAGATGGCGGTAATGCTGGGCACATCTCGGGTTCTAGGGAATAAACATACTAAAGCTCCTTCAGTAGCTGGAACTGGGAGCCTTAGGTATCTTACAAACCTGGCTCCTTTTCAGTACTTTCAACAAAAGCTAAACCTACTTGTGGATCTGCTGATATGTGGTGTTTAATGCTGGGAAAGCTGTAGAAGGTTATCTTTTCTAGTTTCAGTGTGAGTAAGGGTAGCTCAAATGGGAGGAGGTGGTAGGAGCGGGCCATTTCTGAAACACTTTTCTTTCCCTTTGCCCTGTGATGTGGTATTGAAAATTTAGAGGAAATGGAAGATTAACCATACTGATGCATCATACTGATACAAATTCCTTATGCTTTTCCTTTTTGGCTACTTTTTTTTTGTTGTTCCTTATTCATCTTCAGCCAAGAATTATTTGGCAGCTTGCCAAATGTGTTTTGAAGCACAGATATGACACTGAGTGAGCATCTGCCTGGACCAAGCAGAATACTAAACTTTGAGCTTACAGTTTGGATTTCAGACTCACACTGTCAACTTGCTGTCTTTATGAAGACAAACAGTTCTGTGTTGTATTTTTATCATTAGGTTAATCATGGTGAATGTTTCAATTTTGTACAGCCTTTTAATGTGTTTCTAAAAGCAAATCTCTGACTTAAAAGACTTGGTACAAGGTTCTGTTGCTAATGAAAGTGTTTTCTTTTTCTTTTAGGAAGGCACCAAAGTCATCCAGCCTATATTTTTGGGGAAAGTTATTAATTATTTTGAAGACTATGATCCTAACAACACTGTGGCTTTGCATATGGCTTATGGTTATGCCACTGTACTGACTGTGTGCACATTAATATTGGCCATTCTGCACCACCTGTACTTCTATCATGTTCAGTGTGCCGGGATGAGGCTCAGGGTAGCCATGTGCCATATGATTTACCGGAAGGTAAGTGACCAACAGCAGGAAGTATGGATTTCACCAGAAGCATTAGAGCTTTAAGGGAAAATAATTATGTATATTAAAAAATCATATAAATCACTTAAATTATACTAGAGGAGCTTACTTGTTTGTATCAAGCCTTAAAAATATAGATTGTGCTCTGGTGTGTGTGTGTGTGTGTGTGTGTGTGTGTGTGTGTGTGTGTGTGTGTGTGTGTGTGTGTGTGTGTGTGTGTGTGTGTATGCGCCAGTCCTGGAACTAAGGGCCTGGGCACTATCCCTTACCCTTT